AATAATTATGTATAATTTAAATGTAAAAATACAAATATCAGTTATTTCAGGAATAGTTGACAATGATACCTGGATTTAAATTAATTTGTTCAACTCGACATACCGCAAGGGTACATATCCTGAAGCCCTAAAGCTTCCTAAAAGTTCTCATCAAATTATAGTTTCTAATTTCTAGAAGGAGATAATTATTAAATGCATACAGAGAAATGATTTTGGTTATATTTAATTTAGTTCTTAATTATAGGTGAAACTCGAAAAATTAGAATATCATGCAAAAGTTCATTTATTTCAGTAATGCAACTTAAAAGGTGAACCTAATATATGAGATAGACACATTACATGCAAAGCAAGATAGTTCAAGCCATGATGTGGCATAATTGAGATGATTATGGCTTACAGCTCATGAAAACCCCAAATCCACAATCTCAGAAAATTAGAATATTGTGAAAAGGTTCAATATTCTAGGCTCAAAGTGTCCCACTCTAATCAGCTAAGTAAGCCATAACACCTGCAAAGGGTTCCCGGGCCTTTAAATGGTCTCTCAGTCTGGTTCAGTAGGAATCACAATCATGGGACCTGACAGTTGTGCAGAAAACCATCATTGACACCCTCCATAAGGAGGGAAAGCCTCAAAAGGTAATTGCAAAAGAAGTTGGGTGTTCTCAAAGTGCTGTATCAAACCACATTATAGAAAGTTATGTGGAAGGGAAAAGTGTGGAAGAAAAAGGTGCACAAGCAGCAGGGATGACTGCAGCCTGGAAAGGATTGTCAGGAAAAAGCCATTCAAACATGTTGGGGACTTTCTCAAGGAGTGGACTGAGGCTGGAGTCAGTGCATCAAGAGCCACCACACACAGACGGATCCTGGATATGGGCTTCAAATGTCGTATTCCTCTTGTCAAGCCGCTCCTGAACAACAAGCAACGTCAGAAGCGTCTTACCTGGGCTAAAGAACAACAGAACTGGTCTGTTGCTCAGTGGTCCAAAGTCCTCTTTTCTGATGAGAGCAACTTTTGCATCTCATTTGGAAACCAAGGACCCAGAGTCTGGAGGAAGAATGGAGAAGCACACACTGCAAGATGCTTGAAGTCCAGTGTGAAGTTTCCACAGTCTGTGTTGATTTGGGGAGCCATGTCATCTGCTGGTGTTGGTCCACTGTGCTTCATTAAGTCCAGGGTCAACGCAACCGTCTACCAGGAGATTTTGGAGCACTTCATGCTTCCTTCCACAGACGAGCTTTATGGATGCTGACTTCATTTTCCAGCAGGACTTGGCACATGCCCACACTGCCAAAAGCACCAAAACCTGGTTCAATGACCATGGGATTACTGTGCTTGATTGGCCAGCAAACTCGCCTGACCTGAACCCCATAGAGAATCTATGGGGCATTGCCAAGAGAAAGATGAGAGACATGAGACCAAACAATGCAGAAGAGCTGAAGGCCACTATTGATGCATCCTGGTCTTCCATAACACCTCAGCAGTGCCACAGGCTGATAGCTTCCATGCCACGCCGCATTGAGGCAGTAATTGCTGCAAAGGGGGCCCAAACCAAGTGCTGAGTACATATGCACGCTTATACTTTTCAGAGGTCCGATATTGTTCTATGTACAATCCTTGTTTTATTGATTGCATGTAATATTCTAATTTTCTGAGATTGTGGGTTTGGGGTTTTCATGAGCTGTAAGCCATCATCATCACAATTATGACAAATCACGGCTTGAACTATCTTGCTTTGCATGTAATGAGTCTATCTCATATTAGTTTCACCTTTTAAGTTGCATTACTGAAATAAATGAACTTTTGCACGATATTCTAATTTTTCGAGTTTCACCTGTATACAGAAATTAAATTAAAACTCTGCTTTTGTCCTAGCCTTACTATCTCTTGCAATACTGAAGTAAAACCTTGGGTCCAGAAATGTTCTGGAAATCTGTGCATTAATTTTTTACTTAAAACTAGAACAAAAAAAAGCCAGCTATGTATAACTTATAAAGGCTGAGATATATATTGATATCTATTGATAGATAAATAACCTGATCACAAAGTCATAATTAGGTCTACCTCAGGTCTGGACTGCAAAAATCCAGACAATCACCATTGGTAGCAAATATTGCATGCTGAAAGTGTGTTTAGTACATAAAACAAAGACATTGCAGCTTGAAAGCACATGCAAATCAAAACCTACAACTTTTTAGTTGTTTGGAGTTTCAGCTGAGACAAAATCCAGAAGGATATAATATGGTCAATGGTAGTATTGTTCTCCTTTCTCTCTTCCTCCATGGCAATTGTACTTGCCTTCCTACCAAATTCAGCACCTTTCTTCTCTTACTCCCCTGACACGTTTACATTTACATCGCCTGCTCATCTTGTCATCTTCTCGGTACCTTTCTTCTTTCTTCCCCATAGTTCGTCACATTTGAATTCAGCCAGCCTGCCCATTCCTCTCCAATCTTCACAACATATTTGTTTCCACTACCTCCCTTAGCTGACACCACATGTGCTGCCACTGAAGGCCTTATTTTGTTTTCCTTGCTGTTCCTATTCCAGAACAGGTCCTGCCTGAAATGTGTTTCAGGTTCATGCTCAGATAAAATATGTGCGTTTTGATATGAGTTGCCAGTGATTTACACTATATTGTCTAGGCAGAGAATGTTTTGCACATCCTTACTTTGCTGCCGTCTAGGAGTCATTTGAACTTTGCAGCCTGGATCTGTAACTTTAGTTGGACACAGTTAAAAATTTGAGTAATATGGAGTAGGAATATAGTATTCTTTAATAGAGTTTCAGATTATTTTAAATTAAATGGGGAAATGTATTCTGAATATAACCTTCTGGTCTACCATTTAGATATTGTTGGTGGGGGGCAGTAGTTACATATATATCCTCTGGTTGTATGTACCAGTAGTTATATGTACCAGTAGTTACATATATATCCTCTGGTTGTGTCACTTCACTGAATATACTTATTAATTCAGGCGATTATATGTAGGCTCATAAGGCAGTATGTGGATTGTAAATCCTAACTTACATAAATTAGCACAAATATGGCATGGGTGCATGTGGCATGGGTGCAAATAATAGTGATAACCTAGTCACAATCGTTTCTATTTTACTGTCTTACTAACAAGTTATGTGCAAGCTTCAATTAATGATGAACAGCGGACATCAATATGGGGTTCATCAGATGATGATCATGAAATATTACAACTTGAAATTAAGAGGAATATGAACTAATAAATAAAAATTGTGCCTCTCTGAAATCTGAGAGAAAATTGATGCAAATAATGTTTTTCAGGCTTGTGGAATGAAGTTCATTAAGAGATGTAGGGAAGTGATAGGATCTGTTTAATTATGAATAAAAGTATCTGGGTTCTGGATTCCTATTAAGATAGGAATCATAACTCAGTAATATATTATACTCCAGTGGATGCTATGACAACATTGAAAAATCATCAAGCTTCAATTTGTAGGATTTGTAATTGGAGAAATCTTAAAATATGATGTGATTTATTTATGAAAGGTTCAATAAAAGTGTGTGTGTGGTGTGCATGAAGACTTCATCTGTAACCTTGTTGGTTTAGAAAGTGAATGCATTTTGATATGCAGACAATGCCATTTTGTTTAAGAAATTGAATGATTTGCACTGAATATTAGACTTTATTTTGCCAAAAGGAGCATGGAGAGATGGCATTTTCTCATGCCAAAACAAAACAGAGTTATCAGTTATAATTTATATATAAATGACAAACACTAGAGCAATTAGTGCAGCTTCTAGCTTGATAAAATATTTATTAAAATAGATGGGAAAATTTTAAGAGATAAACATTGTGGTAGAAAGGTAGTGGATAGCATATGGTCTGCTACAAGGAATGCTTATTCCTACTTTGTTATGTGAAATGAGAGTGGGCATATCAAGGAGAAGCATAAGTAAACTAAATGTAATGGGATTGTATACTACACAGTACTACTGTGTAACACTACACAGCAAATATGTGAAGAAAGGGGAAGAACAGGAAAGCCATACTGTACTTGAATGCAGGTGATGAAATCTTCAAAAAGATAAGAAGTGAGGATTTTAAATAACAAAAGGCAATGTGCAAGATATTGTACAGTCATAGAGATTAGAGGAAATAGATAAAATGAAGAAAAAAGATAATTAGCAAATATGAATAATACTATGAGGGAAGAAAGAATTCCCACTGTGATTTGTTTGTTTATTATGTATTAAATTTATTTACAGCCCATCTCACTTCGAAGTGACTGGGTGGCTTTGTGTAACAAAGGGATGGAAATGAAGTTATCTGGCCACAAACTTCAGTTATTTGTTCAATTTACCGTATATACTCGAGTATAAGTCGACCCGAATATAAGCCGAGGCACCTAATTTTACACAAAAAAACTGGGAAAACTTATTGACTCGAGTATAAGCCGAGGGTGGGAAATGCAGCAGCTACTGGTAAATTTCAAAAATAAAAATAATTAATTTGGGAAACGATCTCACTATCATGAAAGGTTTAATTGATTCACTAACCCAAAAGAAGAAGATGATGATGACAGCGGGAGGCAGGAGTCACTCTCTTCCCCTCCCTCGGAGGCCCCCTGAGTCAGGAGTCACTACCGCCGGCGCGGCCCCAGTCCCGCCGCCTCGGGAAGGGAAAGGCAAAGCGCTTTTTGCCTTTCCCTTCCCGGCTGGGGCTGTTGGGAGTCGCTGCCGCCGGAGGCCGCGACTCCACACCATTTTTTTTCAGAGGGGAATCTGACTCGAGTATAAGCCGAGGGGGATTTTTTAAGCACAAAAAATGGGCTGAAAAACTAGGCTTATACTCGAGTATATACAGTATATCCTGCTTTTAATAAATACTAACTTTTTTGGTATTAATATATACCGGACGTGTGTGCTGGTGTGTCTTTTATTTGCCTTTTCGGGACCTTGTAAACCTCAGACTGAAATGCACATAATTTAATACAGCTAAAATACAGCTTTTTTTTTTAAATTTAGAATGAAGTCACCCTGCTGAGAAATGAAGTGGCACAGCTAAAACAGCTTCTTCTGGCTCATAAAGATTGTCCTGTTACCGCCATGCAGAAGAAATCTAGCTATCATAGTGAGTAATATTCCATTCCTTCATAGCTCTAAGGTTGTGCCAGTGAAATACCAAGAAGCACCAAAGAAAACATTAATACTGAAAAATGATGCTGAAATGTTTTACATGGTTTTGGCAAAATATGTTCAGGAACACGGTAATTCATAGAATTCTTTTTAAAAAAAATATTTTCATAAATCCTCTTGATAATGTTATAAATTTATATTGAATATCTGTTTGATGAATTGAATATTAATTTTTATCCAAAAGAGCAATGTATCATATTGTTGAAGGAAAAAAATAAATATTAATATTTATGGATAAAACAATGTAAGGGTAAAATGTAAGAAACTAAATTGTTGGCTTTCTGATTCTTTCAGCACTTCAAAGGTTAATTGTGTATATCTTATTTGGGGATATAATAAAAAGTCCAGAAACCAGTCACTGCAGTAGAATAAATGGCCAATTTTGTCCATTGTACACAAATTTATAACAAATAACTGAGCTGGGAATGCATTAGGCAACATTCATAATATATAACCCACAGCTTTCGTTTTTATGATTTAGTGATATTTCAGGGTATTTGTAAATGTGAAGATTGTTTCTGCCATATGTAGCCACTTCATTTTAATTTGCCAGTGTCAGTAATTTAGGAGAATAAAAGAACATTTTGTATTGCATGTGAACAGTTCCTCAGGTGCTTGCGATAAAACTTAATGTCCACCATCTTTACTTGTAGCCATTGTAAGCAATTTTATCAGAATGGGCAATATTTTTTAATTTAAAAGATTCTGGAGATTTAGCAACTCTCTGACTGTAAATATTTAGCACATTGGTTTTGTCAGTTTTGAGGTTATAAATCTCAGTCCTTTTGATCCCCAGTCATTTTGACAAGACAGAAAGTGGCATCTTGGAGCAAATTGAAACCATACCAAAATATATTTTGAATTTATATTAACAATGATTGTTCCAGGGATGATACTATTATAGCTCCCATCTGACAAAGCAATATTATTTCATATATTTAGGCTGCTATAGGACAGCTTCCTGTATGCCTAGTTTGCTGAATGAGCTTAGGTGTCTTGAATATTAATGTAAAAATAACTTTTCCCCCTCTGGCATATTTAACTATCTCAGAGACATTAGTATATGCTATTTTTACTCTGTATGGAAGTCAGCAGTTAAAATAGCATTAAAATAGCATTATCACTCAAAAGAAATAGTTAGACTATAACCAGAATATACAAATGCAAATACAAGTAAAAATTTGGTGTATGCCATTAAAATATATATCCATATCAAAGTGGCCAAATTATAATTTAAAAATTGAACACAAGCTACACAATTAACTGAAGTCTTGAAGAACCCAAAAGATACCATGGCAGGAACATCACAAAATGTTGCTACCTAATTCTTCCCTATATCTTATGCAATAAAATGTCCCAAGAATCTGTTCTAGGGTTTGAAGAGACTTCTGTATTGGACAGAAATATGGGAGTCAGTGAAAATAAACTTTCTCCTCTTACTAGCAGAAGGCATCAACATTTGCTCCCAAGAATGAAATTGCACAATAGAAATCTACGTTATGTGATTAATACTTACAATTTTTCAGTGTTTTTCAAATGCTGCTTAGTTCTTTGGTCATTTTAAAAAGTATGTGTTCAATGTCTTTAAATGATACAAAGAAACCAAAAATAAAAAAGGTGTAGTCCATTGAGCTGCTCTATCTTAAATACTTACAAATGTTCCAATAAAAATCTTTTTCCTGTGTTCTGAATTTGAAATTAATATTTATTTTTTAAAATAAATTTTATTAAGTTTCCAAATTTTAAAAACAAAAAATAAAACTTTATACATTGTTATCAACATCAAGACATCTTTTGCATCTTCTCACATTTTTCAGTATATGTATTTATTTATTCCTTTACCATTACATCTTACTCTTACTATAAATCAATATCTTTTATCCTTACATCTCAATCTTCTCCATGGTATATTTACATATTCCCTCATTCTTTTCCTAATTGCCATTTTCTTTTTATTTCTAAACCACTCATACCAGGCATACCAGGCCCTGTAATAAATTGAATCTTCTCTGTCTTTTATTTTCATTGTTAGCCTGTCCATCTCTGTACAATCTATTATTAGTTTTATAACCATGCCTTCCGGTGGAACCCTTTTTTCCTTCCAGAGTTGTGTGTAATTAATATTTAAACTATATTAGTTATACATACTTTTGTAGTCAAATATCTCTGTTAATTACTTTTGGCAATTGGCCAAATATATATTTCTATAAAATTAGCATAACCAGCTTGTTTATTTCATCTGGTAAATTGGGTCCAGTTCTCCAACATGGAACCTGGCATAAAGTGGAAACTTTTCTGCAAAATCCATATCTGTTTATTAGCTGTGTAAGGACTTGTAAACTCCAGATCCAAAAACTTACTAATAAGTTTCAGATTTAAATCTTTATATGTGTGTGTGTGTGTGTGTGTGTGTGTGTGTGGTATGTATATATGTATATATATATGTGTGTGTGTGTGTGTATTCTGTATACAGTCATATTTCCATTCACAACATATAATTCTATGTATTACCAGGCAAAATAGAAAAATGTGTAAAGCTGTATATTCATTCCAAAATATTATATATAGTTGTTGAGAACCAGAGATGTGCTTTTGAATTCACTACCTTCATCATAGTATTGGTAATGTAAACCTAATTTGATTCTGAACAAAAAGGCAAATGTTTTAGAAATAGCAGGTAAATAATATACAGTATTTACTGTATAAGTTACTTGGTAAATCTAAAATTAGTTGGAGTGAATTGTGCCTAAGGTAAATCAAATAATAAAACTTACAAATGCTTGATTAGGCAAATAACTATAGTTTTTATTGCTACAATAGAACAAAAGAGATAGGCTAATGTAGTCGGGTTTTTTAAAATAAAGACACACAATTGCTAAATAGAACTTTGTTACAGGTACGATGATTAACATTTTTGAAACAGGCAATGAAATTTAGAGTTGAGTGGAAACTTGCTCACAAACTGCAGTTTTGTCTTCTCTCTGGTACAAGCCACCTCACCTACTTCAAAGTATTCTTCATTCTCTGGGACAGATTTTTAGAGGGAGGAAAGAAATGGCCTTACTCCCCAGTGCATTGATGGAAGCAGTTCTACCAACAACAAAGCTGTGTTGGATGCTACTGGCTAGACATTCTCCAAGTCATTATTTGAATTTGACAGAGCTGTATTAGCTCCCTAGCTTCCCTAGTTTCCTATGCCAGTTGTTTCCTTCATTGGAGGATTTCACGACTTGAAAGGAAGTAGAGAAGAAAAAGGCAAAAGATATTAACTGGTTATTTTTGATTATCAAAATAAAACATTTCTTCACAATATATATGACTAGCAGCTAAAGCAGTTTAATAGAACAGGAGCTTGCTCTTTTGTATGACTGGCTAAATATTAAACTGGGGGGGGGGGGGCAGTTTTGATTAGCCTGTTTCACAGCAAGATGCATAGATGTGATTGGCCCATTAAGGCCCTTCATGTAAATACCTAACTCCCCTTTTGATTTCCAGTTATTATAAGAGCAGGAGTCCGAGGAGTGAAGCAAAGCATAATGAAACCATTCAGCTGCTTTTCTCAAAAAAGAAGGGACCACATCATTTCGTGACATTGCTTTAAAAGTTCTTGAGGATCTGCGCTGCCTGTTAAAACTTTTTAAAACTTTGTGTCAGAATTTTCAACCTGTAGTTCTTTGGATATAACACGATGGTTGGTGCGTGTTTCATGAACAAGGAATAGAAATGCTGTTCTTCTCTTTTCAGCAACAGATAAAGATGACAGTTCCGAAGACATTTCCGTGCCAAGTAGTCCTCACACCGAAGCTATTCAGCATAGTTCCGTCAGCACTTCTAATGGAGTGAGCTCCACCTCCAAGGCAGAAGCAGTGGCTACGTCAGTTCTCAGCCAGATGCCTGACCAGAGTACAGAGCCAGTGCTGTCACAGATTGTCATGGCTCCTCCGTCCCAATCACAGCCTTCAGGAAGTTGATCAGAAACTTACTTTGTTTTTAGATATTCCTTAGCAGCTTCAAAGGGAAACCAAGGAAATAGCCTTCATCTAGAAAACATCTGTAGCTTAATAATTACTCATCTGTAAAATATAAACTTGAATTTGGCTTTGGAAGTTGGCAAACAGGAATTGCACAGCCGGTTTTAGTCTCTTTGTAGTCACTTTGGTTCCTAACTAGGATGGTTTGTTATTTTCAGTGCTTGTCATGTAAAAGTGTTGGTACAGCTGAAATGTACTCCTCTTTCATTTGATGGTATTCCAAAAATAATAATTAAGAACAGTCGCTAAATACTCATCCCAAAACTGTGATCATAATCTTATAATATTTTATACCAAAGTTCTACATAGATTCCTTTGTAAAGTCGACAAGATCATAAAGCACTAGGCAAGGGAGGAAAAGACCAGAACGGTAAATTTGCTTTTAGTCTTTTTGCCTTTGTATTGTTTTGCACATTATGAGAAGAAAACATTGGGAGAATATGTTTGATTATATTGTGTAGCATTATTTTTTTTTGGCTTTTTAACTTTGGATGTTTTTTTAAAAGAATTTTGTTCAACAGGGCCAGTACGGTATATGATATACAGTACTTTTATGCACATACATAATCTTGATCAGGGTCATTTTAGCTAGATTTTCTTTTTAATTGATACCAGTTTAGCTAACACTTCCATTTTAAAATCAGGACTTTCATTTCTGACATGGAAATAAATTCTGCAGCTGTCCGTTTACAAAAATCAAAAAAGACAATGGACAGGTGTTAACAGGGTTAAAAAATGGAACTGTTTTTCAAAATCAGCATAACTTGATACTTTGTGGGGTTTTGACTCTTAAAATGAGAAGCGTTTGCGCATTCTAGTATGGTATGTGTGCCAGAAAACTTAAATTCTCTCCTCAAACAACTCAAGATTTCTTTTTCTTTCTTTTTTTGGTTATTGTCTTGTGGTTGCAAGGTAACTTAACTTTATTCTTGTGTAAGCACTGTCATGTTTTAGTAGAGAAATTTTGATACCTGAATGCGGGGAAATTAATGATTTACCATACCTTGGAAACAATTACAGTATGTGTGTGTGTGTGGATGGGTGGGTGCAGTATGCATTTGTGAGTGTGCATGTAGATACATGAGTGAGAAAGAGAATGATTCAGTACTTTATGCCGGCATTCTGTGCTTGAATGTTTAAAGATGCCTTCAATGTGATGCTGGCTTGAATAGGTGTTTGCAATTTTGAATTGTAATTTACTGTGTGAACTTGGATAATTAACATTCCATGATGTAGTTTCTGATGAGATGATGTAGGTACAGTTCATCTCATTATCCAATCATCTGTAGAATATGGAGGGTTTTTTTTTAATGTGCCATTATCTATTTTAATTCTGAATTTACATTAAAAACAACAGCAGTATACTATTTTATTAAACTGTAAAATTTCAAAATATAGGTCTGTGCATTCACATCAGTAAAACTTTGTAAAACAATGAAGTAAATTACACAATGCAATATCTGGCAGTAAAAAAAAAAAAAAACAGGAGAAACCCATTATGTATATAACAAGCATTTATTGCATTTATTGTGGATTGTGTGACTTGTTTCTTCTATGCTTTGTTTTAACCTGGGGTGCCATCAATCTATGAAGTCACAATTTTAAGTGGTGGCAATGACAGAAAACAATTTTATGGTGTACAACCAAACTTGAACAGAAACTGGATGCAGTGATTAAATTATGTATATATCATTTCAGTGCTTTTAAGTCTGAAAATAAGAATTTAAATATTTTGTGTATTAAAACTACAAGGAGCAGGTTTTTGCATAGTTAGCAAAGAAATACTCTAATTGCCTTTGCTTTATCAGGTTGTTTTAAAAGAACTGTAATACTGAAAGCAAACTTACAGAATTTAAAACACAGAACAAAAATGAGAGTCTCCATGAGCGAATACAAACCCTGAAAGAAACCTCCACAGAAGATTGCTTTGATCTAATTCTAGCCATGCCGAGGTGGGGATGTGCCCCCAGTTGAAAGCAGTGCATCATTGATAGATGGCATTTATGTTCTTGTGAACACCTGATGTACGCACCTGCTTTGTGCTCCCTCCAATTTAGGCACAATGTAAAAAGCAAGGGATCTGGACTCATATCCCTATCTGAATTGGAGTGATTACTCTCTCATTGTGAATTCCATGAACTGGGTAAGAACAATTTGGTTGTGTTTGCTCTGCTAAATATGATGGGCTGTGTTGTACTCTACTATCTTCATTTCTGTCCTGAAGCAGCTCACTGAATTAAATGGTGATGCCTCAGTAAAAATGCCTGGAGCAATATAAGCCAATCTTATTTTAAAACCTTATTTAATGTAACACGGTGTTTTTAGTAACAAAAGTGTTGCTGTTGTAAATCTAAGTACGTGTGAGGAGATATGTAAAATGATTTTAATGGAGGGGTTAGTGAAAATCCTATCTATGTTCAACAAAACAGTTGTACAACCATAGATTCCGTTTTAAACTGTATGTCACTATTTCTGTACTTTGCATTTGCGTTCCTTGAATTTGACATGTTTCACAAACTGTACCGTTTTCTTCACTGTGCAGTTTGCATGAGTAAATCATCAAGAGAATAAAATTTATCTTTACATTGTATCTGCTGTCTTGCATTTACGATATGAGATTTCCTTACCAAGTCCTGCTGTTTCTCTACAACATGGCATAATGCCAGAGAATAGGATTCCTTTCCTGTGTAATTTTGACTGAAGCCATCCCGCTGTTAACCTACCTTCCGAGGTCAGTAACACGAGGAACCAAATTGCGGGGGGCCATATGCTGGCTCTGTAAACCGTTTAGAGCGGGCTGTAAAGCATTGTGAAGTGACATATAAATCTAAGTGCTATTCCTATTGCTCTAACGCCACTGAAAAAACTGACTCATGGCCATATTTCACACTTCAGTCTGTTGCAGCATCTCCCTGGTCACATGATTAAAATTTAGGCGCTTAACAACCAACTTGTATTTATGACAGTTGCAGTATCCCGAGGTCATGTGATCACCTTTTGCAACCTGACAAACCAAGTCAATGAGGAAACCAGATTCCCTTAACAACCATGTAGGTTGTTCTAACTTAACAACTGCAGTTATTGACTTAACAACAGAACAGTCATAAAACGAAGCAAAACTCACATAGCATGTCTTGCTTAGCAACATAATTGTTTCACTCAATTGTGGTCGTAAATTGAGGACTACCTGTATCTTATATAGATGTGTATAGACTAGGATTAATGTAAAAGACCATTGCCCTTGGAATGTAGAACACTGGAAGGCAATTCAGTTATGCAACAAGTACAATATTTTGCCCATCATTTTACATTTCAAAGTTTTTCTTTTTTTTTATGGATACTTTGAAGAAAATATATAAACAAATATGAAAAAGGACAAAAAAGAATATTAGATATAAAAATCGTTTCCAGTTTGAGTTGAAATCTCTATCAATATCAAGGTTTCAGTGCTTATCAATTTAAATGTCGTATCAAAGCACATAGCTTCCACTTGGTTTTCCATTTTTCCACTGAAAGGATCAGGTAACTGATCCAGTAAGAAGCACATAGTATCCTTGTAGCAGTTATATACAAAGCTAGTTTAGGGGACATATAGTTTCATGAAGTTTAATAAAAACATAGGTTGAAATCAAATGCAGCTTTTAAGACTTGTTTCATACTAGAATGAATCATTTCTGGAATTACAGTTTTGCCACCAAATATGAAAGAATGATCCAAGCTGGTCATTGAAAATGAATTGTCAAGTTTAGAAACCAAACCTGAAGTATTATACCAATGATAAAGCATTTTATAACAATTTTTTCAAAGAATAATGTTTGAAGAAATTTAACGTTTTCTTCCGCTGAAATGATTTCTCCTATTGGATCCCTATTAATGAAGCTTTTTTATTGTACAATCATTTATCTGTTCAGATTATGAGTCCTAGTTCAACAGCTGTCTATAAATATGGCCCAACATATCTTCTGAGTTCCCTATTTTTATGATTTTTCAAATTAAATCTAATATCTCATTGTTTATTTCTGCAATTCTTTTAATACTGTGCTATGTATTTGAAAATACTGAATACTTATCTTTGTCTTATTAATAATTAAATCTAGCAATCAAAACAAATTGATAATTCTCTACTGAAATTTTTTTGAAAACAAGAAGGTTTTTTTTTAATTTGGCTGAGCCATGCCTGCATAGTTTTTATTTGCTGGGCTTTGTAGTACATGTTGCTCCATTTCACTACTGCCCTGTTCTGTTATTAAATACTTCACTTATGCATTTCTTTCAAAAATTGAATTGTTTCCAAATAACCCTTCTTAAACTACAGAAAGATCTATCTTTCCATTTCTTTCCCTTTATTGTTAATCATCTGGCATGCAACTTTTTAAAATGTCTTAATTTTAGAGTGACAACCAAAATGCCTGAGGAATGAATGAGCAAAGTATTCACTGTATCAGACTTCCTATTTAAAAAAACATTATATAAACCATAAAAGGTGCTTTCGGGTTTAAAAATAGATTGTTTTCAAGTATGCATTTGTAATATTGGACAATTTAGCTAAATGAGAGGAACCACAGAGTTTCCCATTATAGATAAGCAATCTGGTGTGTTAGTATGAGAAAATTGTTACATTTCTCATTTAACAATAGATGTGATGGTAGTCTCTTGAGAAAATGTTAGTTAAATGACTCTGAAAACTTAAATATTTTGTATGGTTTGTTAGTCTTCAATTTTCCCCTGAGAAAGTCAGATGATTGCTTTGGTTTCTACTCAATAATACGAATTGTGATTGCAGTATGTTTAAACTAAGAACAAATTGTATGATTTAATTCTAGTTAAATCAGTGAAATGTAATGTTGCTTTTGTACATTGCTTAATGTCAATTTGAGGCTTTACACAAAATTGGTAGGAAAAAAAATCAAAGATAATGAAACATAAGATCTGAAGGAAGCCAAAGAAGATAAAGTCTTGCAAATTTTATAAGCAATAATTCCAGCTTTAAAAATAGTGTTTCTAATAGTAATAAATATATTTAAGTGGCCTCAGAAGAAACATTTGATGACTAAATATTAAAGCTGCCCAGAGTCCTTTGATAGTGAAATAACCGCATTATAAATTTAATAAATAAAAATAAAATTTAAATAACATTCATTTTTACCTCTAGTTTCTCATTTACATGAAAGAATGAACTTCAGTCAATAAACGGAATTAAAATAAAAAAGATCAATATTTGTACCACTTGGAAAAAAACAATTAATGATATATAGCTGGATTTGAGCAATAATTATTTCCAGTCAAAGTAGTTTATCATTCGGAGTGGCTCAACTCTATCCTGAGGTTCAGCCTTCATTTATTTGTCATCTCAAATACTGTAGATATGCACCACACAAAAACTGCACTCTTATGAGATAGAACTCTTGCTCATCTAGAAAAAAAATAGCAATAACAATAGCATTTAGACTTACATACCGCTTCATAGTGCTTTACAGCCCTCTCTAAGCAGTTTACAGAGTCAGCATATTGCCCCCAACAATCTGGGTCCTCATTTTACTGACCTTGGAAGGATGAGTCAACCTTGAGCCTAGTGGGATTTGAACTGCCAAATTGCAGGCAGCCGATAGTCAGCAGAAATGGCCTGCAGTACAGCACACTAACCACTGTGCCACTTTGAATCCTATGTTTGCTACCCAGAGTCACACGGGCAGATGGGGCTGCTGTGTAAATCAATAAAATGAATTAAAACTATACAGAGAGCACCTTTTATCAGGCTAACTGCTGAGACCAGATAGGGTTCAGTGGATGGGGCAGCACCATTTATGCTGGCATGCTTTTCTACCAGCTCCAGGGCTAAAGGAATGTGTGTTGATAAGTCCTAAATTTGAGCTAATGACTAGACTATATGACACATTCCATAAATCTCCCCAAGCTCCTTGGTATAACATACTGTAAAGGTAAATCTCTTGAGGATCTTTCACAATGTCAACAATATTGTGTTAATACTGATGATATATGAAATGAGGACCATTTCTGTCTAGTTTTAGACTGATAGTAATATTGCTGCAAATTATAGTAACATAGATATAATATCACAGTTTAAATAAAAAGGGAAATTGCCCTGGAAAGGTATCAACTAGCAGAGTTTTAAATTCATTGTGTTAATGGATGTTATTAAGCATGGAAGAAACTATAAATTTTTATGGTTATAGTCTTGATGCTCTACATTGATGATGGTAAACCTATGACATGTATTATTTTTGGCGACACACCTAGAGGCCACACAGTATTTGCAACATATTAATTAGACAGTGTGTCCTGTCCTTTAAAATTGGCATAGGTATGTATTAGATTGCTTGGGTGACCCTGCCCCAATAAGTTTGCAAGTTAAAAACTAAGAATCTAAATTTTCAAGGCAAGTTCATGTCCTGATGACTTCATGGTCACATTCATGTAGTTTTTTTCACAACAACATAGAAATGCCAGTGTCTTCTTCCAAAACTTTTTTTAGAAGTTTGGTGACATACCTAGAGGCCACACAGTCCCTGGAGACCCTCTGGAAGTTGCATGAGTGGTCACTGGAGCTTCTGGAAATCAAGCAAGAATGTTTTTGCATGCTCTTCGCAGTTTCCAGAGGCTGCAAGAGAGAGCAGGACCGTTTTGTACAACTTCCAGAAGGTGCACAAGAGCACATCGTTTTCCTGTGCAGCCTCCCAAAAAGCATCAGAGCCTCCAAAGGCCACCCAAGAAAGTGGGGTGCTATCAAACAGATTTTGCTCTCCCTGCAAGCCATGCAAGAGGACCCTGCTCTTGTATGCTTTATGGAGCCTCCAAACAAAGGGGTTCGATTTCCCATCCACTTGGAGGCTGCAAAGGCCATGCAAGAGCATTCTCTGAAGTTTCCAGGCCTCTGACGGCCCAGAGATGCCTTGGATAGACATTTTTCTGAGGAACAGATAATAAAAAAATAGAATAGAATTCTTTATTGGCCAAGTGTGATTGGACACACAAGGAATTTGTCTTGGTGCAAATGCTCTCAGTACACAGAAAAGAAAAGACAAGAATCGTATCACAATAATAGTCATAGGGTATTTACAAATACATAGGTGTTAAATTTATATGCCATCCATCTCACTATTTAAATGCATGCGGACCAGGACACCGAATAATGCAGCCCCACAAGGCTATAAACTTTTAATACATCATTTATGTACATTAACTATATTATATATTTTATATACAGACCAAGTGGCTCAGACAAGCCAAAAGATTGGACACCCATGATTTACAATGACTTTGTTATAAATTGCTTCTCTTTTGTCGGTGTATGTGTGTGTGTGAAAGACATGCCAAGCAGTGTCAAGTTAGGCATTTTCTGAATTTTTGACACACTGAGTCCAAAAGGTTCATCATCACTGCTCTACACGCTTTTCAAATGGCGTCAGGGAGGAGTTTTGCCTTCCACGATAATTCCATCACTTTCTTAGCTACTGGTAAAGGTGTCAGATAAAATGGTAAGAAATGGTTCCTGCACCTATTAAAAGGTCATAAATCTTTTTTTCCCTCCCAGAAAGGTTACAAACCATAAAGCAGTGTTCCAAGATATTT